AATTTTCAAGCCAAATAACCTTCAGATTCTGGACCTTCAGATATAGGTCACTCCTGCTTACAGTTGTTTAAAAATTATTAACCAGAAGATTGACAAAGACTAATAAATTTTTTCAAGGGCATAACAACGTTCGTGCTTTATCAACACTAAGACCTAAGAGATCCACCAAGCCATATGAATGGGAAACAACACTTGATCAAATTAGTATGAGAAACAAGAGGGCACCATATCTGACCTCATCACATTTTCTTTGAAGTTCCAAGAGCTCTTGACAGTATGCAAGGCATTCCGCATGGTATACAGCAGCTAACTCCTTTATCAAGGCCTTTCTTTTAATGATGCCAATCACTTCAAAAAAGAATATGACATAAGGTTAGAGTCATGGCAGAGGTTCATTATAATAAATCCAGTGCCACAAGGAGCAAACAATAAATCTCAAATCTGCCACGATATATGGCAAGACAAACACACATTATCTGAAGTTTTCACAAGAGAGGTACCACTTAAATTAGGGAATGAAATCGCTAACTGTGATTAGACATATCAAAACCATTTATGCGTGTTCCGTGCTTCATGTAAAAACCATCTCAAAGAGCACCAGAAAGACTACAGAGTTGTCAACCATAAATTCAAGTGAAATATGAAAAAGAAAACAAGGGTTTATCTTTTGTTTCCTACTTTCCACAGAGAATAGATTACTTTTACACGCATGTAGTTACACAGGATTTGCAATCACTGAGCCGATGTATCAAGAAAAAACGAACAAGAATTTGAGCCCAAGAGAAAATTTAACAGACAAAATATCTAAGCCTTAGATTTTAACAATGTGACAACTTCCCAATTAAAAAGTCAAGCACTCTCCTTAGAAAATCAACTTCAATTGTGAAATTCCACATCTTTCAATAAACCCAGATGGGAAAAATACAAATTGAAACATAAAAGAATCCTAAAAACCTAATCACACTCGCAATTTCAGAAAGAAAAAAAACCCAAACAAGAAAAATACAAGAGCGAGAGAGAGATAGAGATAAGTACTTCGACTGGGATCGAATGGGGGAGCAGGAGGGTCGGCCTGAGAGGAGGAGGGTTGCTGAGGGGTCGCATCAGAATGAGGAGCTTCAACTTGTTCTCCCTCTTCTTGTTCTTGTTGTGGTTGTTCTCGTTCTTCTTGACCCATTGAGGTTGTTTCTCGGAACTCCCAGAATCCTCTGAGGGGAAATCACTAATCAGCAATTGTTTTGATTAGCTCTTACCCGAGTATATATAACTTCTGTGACTTAGGAACGACTCGACAACATTGTACGGCAAAGGAACCACCCTCTACCACTTCACACCATGAACAAGTGTTTTGGGGAATTTTGTATATTTTCCTGTACATGTGTTACGGGTTATGCTTTCCTCTTGCCTTCTTCCCGCTGAAGTCGACGTAATTGTGTTTGTTTGGGCCTGTGCTCAGCTTTAGTCGTGCTCTGGTTTTCGTTTATGCCTCTGTGTCCTTTGGGCTTTTTGCTAGTTTCGGTTGACTGTGTTTTGAGCAACCCATTTGCCTAGGCATGTTCGTTGGTACCCAATTATTGAAGATTGTACTACTTCTGTGGACACCCACAATCTTTTTCAGATTATACCAACACTATCCTCTAAATAATTTTTATCTTAAATAATGAACTAAATATATGAAATAGAAATAAAAAATGGGGAAAAAAAAACACCGACTCCCAACCTGGCCCGGTCTCCCTCTGCTGGCCACTCCACTCCTACAATAGAGTAGTTTTTATCACGTGACGATGTTGAGTGACAAGAACAATCCTAAAAGAGTCAGCGACCTTACTATAATCCCTCGTTATAGTCTTCCTGTATTAAATAAGATAACAATTGGAGTATCACATGCCCACTTAGCTACAAGGCCCATCACATTTTGTTCATGATATACCAATTCTTGGATTTTAATATTATGAGTTATACAAAAAAATAATTCAGAATGGCTTTTTGGTCATTTACAAATTTTATAATTCAATTGTTACTAAAAGAAAACAAAAAAGAAGAAGGGATAATTATAGTTCAATAAAAACCCTCTTGTTTGCCTAAAACCCTCAAATACACAGCAAGCAATCGCAACGCCACCACCATCACCATGAGTCTAATAGCAGGCTCATACGAGAAATTCATATGGGGCTTCAAGCTCAAATCCCTAAAAGCTAACCCTGATTCTCAATCCCTAACCCTAGCCCCACTCTTCTCCTACCCCTCCCACCTCTCCTCCATCACCACAGTTGCCACCGCTGGCTCTGCCGCGGCCTCCGGTGGCTCCGATGACACCATCCACCTCTACGACATGTCGTCCGCCACCTCCCTCGGCTCTCTCCACGACCACTCCGCCACCGTCACCTCCCTCTCCTTCTTCACCCCTCCCCATCTCTCATTTCCTCTCAACCTCGTCTCCGCCGCCGCCGACGGGTCGTTTTGCATCTACGAGGCCGACCCTTTTGTCCTCCTCAAGAGCCTTAAGCCCCACAGGAAGGCCATCAACGACGTGTCGTTGCACCCTTCTGGGAAGTTGGCTTTGACCGTTGGAAAAGACGAGTGCTTGTCGATGATCAACTTGGTGAGGGGTAGGAGGAGCTTCTATTGCAGGTTGGGGAAGGAGGCTAGCTTGGTGACCTACGATGGTTCTGGGGATAAGTTCTATATGGCTATGGAAGACAAGGTTATGGTTCATGAGGCTGAGGATGCTAGGTTGCTTTGCGAGTTGGAGAATTCAAAGCGGGTTCTCTGCGTCGAGCCCGGCGAGGTTAGTTTCTTGGGCATTCTGTATTGGTTTTTTTTCTTTCAATTTTGCCTCCTTTTTGCATTTTTCAGTCTGCACATCGTCATGTGAGTGCATTGTCTTACACTTATCTACTTTAGTTGTAAGAATCCCAATATTGCCTTCTTTACATCTATCTGTAATTATTTACACTGCACAAAGCTATATATGTCTGCCATATATCTGAGGTTACTTGTGTTGGGGGGAATATTAAACCATTGATAAAAGGCATTTCTCCATTTGCATTTTTTGTGATAGCTCTACTGGCAATTCACAGTTCTCTTTTTGCTAAGATATTTCTGACTATGCAATTCACAATATTTCTTGTCTCATACTGAAGCAGTTTGTTAGAAAGGTTATTCAAGTTTCCCTAAACATTACATTTTAATTTTTGATAGAACGGAGTTTTATATACTGGTGGTGAGGACCGCTGTATTACAGCATGGGACACACACAGTGGGAAGGTTGCATATCGCATTGAGGATGCACACCCTGCTCGTGTGAAAGGAATTGTTGTGCTTACAAGCAAAGCTGGTGCTGTAGCCGATGATGACCCATATCTTGTAGCATCTGCCTCGTCAGATGGAGTTATACGCCTTTGGGATGTTCGCATGGCTGTTAAGGAGAAGCCAAATCCATTGGCCGAGGCTAATACAAAATCAAGGCTTACTTGTCTGGCTGGATCATCTCTTAAATGTAAGATTTACCCGTGTGTGATGGCTTGAATTTTTGTTGTTGGATAGCATGTTTTCCCCTTAATGAATTGTAAGTAGTTTTGTTCTAGAGTTTTCTTTTTCTCCCTTCATTTCATTAGTCGTTGTCGCTATAAGCTTGTATTGGCATGAATCTTGTAGGATAAGATTATCATATAACTTGGCAGTAAATATGTTATGTCATACGAATTCTACACACTTAACCAGTGGAATTTCTGGATGAATGGCTTTGACTTTTTAATTGTTGACTTGGTGTGTTGATTGAAGGTATAAAGAAGGATCTGACTATAGCCAAATTTTGACTCTTATATACACTCCGTGTATGGTCCTACTATACATGTTGCCTTTAGCCTAGCCTTAGTATGGGCTCCAACCCTTTACCTGATAAATGCTAAGGTGAAATATGAATATCCAATTCAAACACTGTGATAGGAATCTATTATGATGACACTAGGCCTGTTGGATTTGCATGTTAAAAGTTCAAAACTAAAAGAAACTCTTAGTGTTATCTTTGTACAATCTCAAGATCAGCATTATATTGTGTTGGTGAGCTGTAGTACCTATCTTGATGTTCCAATATACCTGTCCTGATGCTGCCATATGAACATGCAATTATGGATATAGGAATTTTCTGTAATTCTTGTGTCAACTGATCGTTAGTTGTCTTATTGTTTTCTTTTTCCTTCTTGTACAGCTTTCAAACGGCCACAGATTGGAAAAAGCGATAAAAAGGAGGAGCATGATGCAGCAACAGAAGGCGTATAAGTTATAACCAAATCAAAATGTCTGACCCAACAAAAATTGGCTTCACAGTCTTTGTAAAGGCTTTATATGTGCGTGCCTGAGAGATTCTTCAATTGCTGATAAACAGTAAAGGGAACTTCCAACGTATCAATTTTGTCGTAGAACTTGTTTGTATCAATGTTAGTTAAGTATTGGTTAATTCTGGGCCTCTTTGTATCTCTGGATTCTTTTCAAATTTTCTGGTAAAGAGATTCCTTTGTGTAATCCAGAGTTTTGAGTAAATTGTATGGAAGCGAATGCAGATCTCCCTACGAAACTTCAATGTGTTCAAATGTAGTTGCACACATTTCCAAAGATAATCCAATATTTTTGAGTAAATTGTATGGAATAATGGAAGTGAATTTAGATCTTCCTTAAAACTTCAATTTGTTCAAGATGCAGTTGCATGCAAAGCGAAACATTAGCACATTAATGCGGTTACTATACCTTCCCAAATGCGTCTTTTGCTTTCCTTTTATTTTCCTCTCTAAAATCATATAGTTCTCATACCGGGTGAAGTTTGTTAGTCCTAGGTAGTCGTTAGTCAAATGCTCTATGAACTGGTTTTTCTCTTTTTGACCTTAAGTCTTGTACTCTTCTGGGTTCAAGGCTAATATGTGGCTCTTGGAAATCCATTTACACAGAAGAAAAAAAACTTCAATATGTTCAATGAATAAAATTGTCAAAAACGAAACAGTATTTCAATACTCCATCTCTGTCTCTTGCATCCTTGATTTCCCACTCCAGGTTTCTTAATATGGTATATATACCATCTGATCTTGGATGAGATCGATCCGCTACTCGGAACTCATGTAGACATCCATTTATCTCTACCCAGCTACAACCGGGAGTTTTCTTTAGTCCTCTATCCCTGAGGAAACTCCTCATCTTAGCAACTCCATCCCACTTTCCAGCTGCAGCATATATGTTGGCAAGCAATATGTAATTTCCAGCATTTTTCGGTTCCATGGTTATAAGCTTCTCAGCAGCAAACTCTGCAACCCCAGGCTCTGAATGCAACTTACAAGCACTTAACAAAGGGCCCCATACCCGAGCATCAGGTTTGAAAGGCATAGATTTTACAAGTTCTCTGGCTTCATTGACATGCCCAGCACGCCCTAGTAGATCCACCATGCAAGCATAGTGTTCCTGGCTTGGTCGACAATTATATGTCTCAACCATCTCCTTGAAACACTCCTTCCCTTCTTGAACAAGACCTGCGTTTACGCAGGCTGTCAGTACTCCAAGAAAGGTTACTTGATCTGGTTTCAATCTCAGTTCCTTCATTTGGTTATACAACTCAAAAGATCGATCCCAGTCTCCATGCTTAGCATACGCACCAATCATAGAGTTCCATGTGACTAGATCTTTATCATTGATATTCTCTTCATCAAAAAGCTTCCAGGCCATCTCTATGCATCCACATTTTGCATAGCTGACTAGAAATGCCGTATTAACAGACGAAAGTGAGTTGAGGCTAAGTTTCACCGAGTACCCATGAAGGTATTTTACATTCTCTAGTGCCCCTAGATTCACACAAGCAGGCAAGATGTTAATAACTGTAATGAAATCGACACTGATTCCCTCAGATTTCATCTTGGAGAAGAGAGAAAGAGCATCAAGTGACTGATCATGATTGACATATCCTTTAATCATTGCACTCCATGAAACAACAGTCTTGTTTGTCACAACATCAAAAACCTTTCGAGCCGAATTTAGCCGATCACATCCACAGTACATGTCAATCAGAGAATTATGAACGGACACTTGATAATCTGAACCATTTCTTATCACATGAGCATGCATTTGTTTTCCCCAATCAGTAGCTCTTAACTGTGTAATTGAAGAAATTGCAGGGATTGCAGTAAATAAATCAGCTCTAATGCCTGAACTTCCCATGCATCTTAGTAGCTCCAGTGATTCCTTAGGGTACCCAATTCGAGAATAAGCTGATATCATTATATTCCAAACAACAGAGTCCTTCTCAGGCATTTCTTCAAATACCAATTTGGCATATTCTAAATCACCTAACTTGGCATACATAGACAACAATGCAGTATTCACAGACAAATCCACACACAAATTGCTCACAACAACCAAACAATGAACAGCCTTTCCCACCTGCAATGAGTTCAAATCCACACTTGACCTCAGCAAGTTAATCACAGTAACTGAATCAGGTTCAAATTTCTCTATTGCTTTTCCGCTTTGTGAACCCTCAGAAGTCAGAGAATTCCATTGCTTTCCCTCATTTTCAAAATTACCATAGCTTCTATACATATCAACCAAAGCAGCACCCACCAGATCATATGAATCAAAACCCAATTTCACCACATGCCCGTGAATCTTTGCCCCATTTCTAGCATCTGAACACCAAGAACATGACTTCAAAACATAAGGGTAAGTATTTCCCTCTGGGTACATAGATTTCATAACCATTTCATTGTAAACCAAAAGGGTTCTCTCAAATTCACCACACCCTGGCCACTTTCTTAAGATTGTATTATACAGAAGGGAACTTCGGTCACTGACAGAGTTGAAGACTTGTTGGGAAAGACTGAGGACGCCAAGGTTGGCATAGCAGTCGATGAGTTTGGATGAGAGTGTTGGGTTTTGGTGCAGACCATGAAGGACGAACCTGGCGTGGATTTGCTGGAGTTTTTTGGGATCGTTGCAGAGGTTCAAGAGGGAAGAGAGTGTGTTCAATGGTCTTGTTTGGGTCGCGGGAAAGTGTAGAAATTTGAGAAGGAAGGGGTTGTGGAGAACATGTCTTGACCGTTGGGAGGGAAGCATGTTAGGCAGAAGTTACCCCAATCAACATCTTGGTGACGAGTTCACATAAAAATTGGGTCTTTAGTTGTTTAGTGGAGGCATCATTGCTGGCATAGTAGAATAGAAAATTCACTTTTTTTTTTTTTTTTTTTTTTCCGGACAGTTTTTTTACTTTTGAAACCAAGAAAAATCACTTTTTCAAGGGATAACTAAACAGAGAGAAGAAAAACACAGAGAGAGAGAGAGAGAGAGAGAGAGAATTTATTTCAGTGTTGAAATTGAGAAGGGAGAACTAAACAGAACTTTCCGTTATTTCTGGAGTTGCTGTCCTCTAAAGCTAAGCATATTGGACAACACCGATGAAAGATTTGAGCTTGTCTCAGCGCCAAGTAATCTCTTTCGTCTTCCCTCGTATTTCTCTCAATTCCCAGTAAACCCAACGCTCAATTTTTCACTTCAAATTCTACAGGTAATTCCAGATCTCCCTTCTCTCAATTATTATTTGCTTTTCTTCGTCTTCTTCCATGTTCCTTTAGATTCCCCGTTTTTCTGCAACAATCTCTTCTGCTTCATTTTAATTTTATGTTCCCAATTTGATTCTTGATTGAACATATCGGGTGTTTGGTTGCTGAGAAAATGTTGGAAAAGAAAAGAGCAGAAATTGATGCGTAATTTTTTTTCGTCATGTAGGAAACAGGGGAAAACTAAAACCCTTAAAGCAATTGAGCTTCATCCTGCTATTTAGATTGGTTAGCTAACTAATTGCTTTGGTTAGTGCGGTTGGCAATTCAGTTGCTTAATTAAAAGATTAATTTGATATATACAATGGGAAGTTGAGGCTCGTTCTCGATGGGGACATATAACTAAATAAAGGTTTCACTTCTGGTGGTGTATCCTTGGAACATAGTGCTGGTTAAAGTTAGTGCGTTGTTGGAGGTGTAGTGTTGAAGATTGAATTTGATGGAAGTGGATGGAAGTGCCTCAACAGTTTCTAGGGGTGCTCAATCAATTCCACTACAATCCAGGCGGCAGAGAGGTATGTTTTTCGGGCCTTCCCATTCCTAGTCATGACTTGGTTGCCTTAGATTCTGCTCTGAAACTTTATTTAGGTTCTTTTCATGTGGTTCTGTAGCACAGATTGTTAAAAAATTGGCGTGAGTAGTCATTAACCGTGTTCCCTCTAATCGAGTCACAAATACATTGATTTATTGATTTGTGATATCTTAAGAGATAAGACATTGTA